TTTGGAATTTTAATGCGCTATAAAAGAATTTTCATGAATATTGTTTCAAAGTTATGAGTTTATTAGAAAGATTGAACTTTTCCATTTAGGAATGGAAGACAACATTCGCTCCCCATTCGATCAGTCCAATTTTTCGGCACAATTTCGATTGTATGAATGTATGATGTATATATAATGTACGAATTGTAATATAAAGGACGTCAAGGGCAATTTGATGTTTCAAAATTAAAGCGAATATTTTGGCAGTTGGTGCCTAGATCGTTGGCTCCGTGGAGTAGTGGCTTAGTTGTATGGCCTACAAATAATGAAAAATAAAAGGATCTCTTTCCATCTTCTGGTTTGTTTTTGTTCGTCGCCTCTTTCGACATCTTGTCGACGATATTGAGCAGTGGATATTCTTACCCCGCCACTACACGATTACAATATTCATAATTATTACCATCAATTATATTTAACCTCACAAATTCTAAAGTAGAATATAAAAATATGCGAGTATAAATTGCCTATACTCATTACAGTATTGTGGTGGATAAGATAAACATCAGCAGTAAACTTCAATGTACCTACGCGATATCATAGTAAAAGTTCGATTCCCGCTGACACCAATGAAATTATTAATTACAGTTGTATGGTGTTGACGTTAACCTATATTTACCTTTATATTACGCATTACATAAAAGCATTTTCAGCTTAATTCCTTTGTAAATAAGGGCGAGACAAGCGAGCACGTAGTGTATCTGTTGATAAATACATGCTACGGCCTATAAACATCTACATTTCTATGTTCGATTAAGGAAAAAAAGCAGATGTGTCCTCACACCCAAAGACTAAGATTGAATTCCTCATTTCCAGTAAAAAAGTTCTCTGGTTATCTATACTCACCATACATAACACAAGAGCACAAATCTGTTAATTCAGGCTGGCATTCTGAAGAGCGTGGTCCTTTCCCGGTCAAGCCAACCCATTGGTGCTACAACAATATAGCTGCAGACAAGGTTGTTAATAATGTTAATAGTGTTGCTGTTAAGCATCAAAAATACACACCTCCTCCATAAGATAATACAGCAGAGAGACTGCAGCAAGCTGAAATAAAGTACAAAGCTAAAAAAATAATTATTTGAGATAAAACTCTTTTGATATAGCTCAATGAACTGACTACCGGTGGGGTAGAAAGGTTCTGGTGTGATACCCTCGTAACGGTACATGCAGCAAGTGAGACTGCACTTTGTGGTATTACTTGTGAGAGGTCTGCGTTTAGCAGTGGATTTGTGAAGTGATGTGTAAACATTATAATGACGATGGTTTCTATAATTTAATGAGAATATATATATATATATATATATATATATATATATATATATATATATATATATATATATATATATAACTAGCTGTTCTCCGCTACTTCGCCCGCGTGGAGTTATTTTTTGCGAAACCCTAAAATAAAAGCAGCCCAAGTTACTCCTTATAAGATCAGCTATCTAAAAATAAAGCAATAAAAACACTTTTCTCCTACCCATACTTAACATCGACTCGTAAAATTTTTGATGACACAAAAATAATGAACATTCGACAACTTTATTTATATAGCACTTGCATTCTAATTAGGAAGATCATTAGTAAAAACATCCAAACTAGTTTCTCCTTTACCAAAAAGTCACAAATATCCAAACGCAGTCTTCGTCGACCTAGCTTACTCTTATTGCCAAAGACAAGTACCAAATTAGGGAAAAAAAATATTACCTTTGAGGGAGCACAGTTTTATAACAGCCTACCTTCTCATATTAAAAATAAAGATACCTTTAACAAATTCAAGTCTCAATTGCACAACTACATTCTTGAAAGCTACTGACTTAACTAATTTCGGAGAGTGTCACGATGGAACTGTGAAGACGGTGACCGTTACCTAGATTAAGTTTATATTACTGTTTTCATGTAAGTGGATTTTGTAATGTTTTTGTGAGAATAAATTCTTTAAACCTAAACCTAAGCCTATCTGCCAGTATGTATAACTATTGACAAATGTTGACATTAATATTTATACGATACTAACGTCACTCAATTTTTTTGCCTTCCCGGAACCACTCCACTAACACTTGGTATGGGTTGGTATTAAAGTTGGTTCACTTTATGGTATGGTAATAAAGTTCAAATTGACTTTTAAGTATTATTATGAATCTTTTGTATGGGAATATAGAAAAGTGTAGTTTTTAGACTTTTTCAGGCAATTCTTTAAATTTTTCTCTCCGCAAGAACCATCTTCGTACTTCAAGGAATATTACAAAAAAAGAATTGGCGAAATCGGTTCAGCTGCTCTGGACATTTGCGCTTAGCAACACATTCAGCGATTCATTTTTATATTATAGACTAGCTGTTCCCCGCGACTTTGCCCGCGTGGAGTTATTTTTCGCGGAACCCTAAAATAAAAGCAAGCCAAGTTACTCCTTATAACATCAGCTATCTGCCAGTGTGTATAAATATTGACAAATATTGACATTAATATTTATACGATACTAACGTCACTCAATTGTTTTTCCTTCCCGGAACCCCTCCATTAACACTTAAACTTTATGTTATGGTATTAAAGTTCAAATTGACTTTTAAGTATTATTACGAATATTTTCTATGGGAATATAGAAAAGTGTTGTTTTTAGACTTTTTAAGTAAGAACCATCTTCGTACTTCAAGGAATATTATAAAAAAAAGAATTAGCGAAATCGGTTCAGCTGCTCTCGAGATTTGCGCTTAGCAACACATTCAGCGATTTATTTTTATATTATAGACTAGCTGGTACCCGGCGGGTTGCAGCCGCAGAATAAATAAGTGTGGTAATATCGTTTTAAATTTGGTTATATTATTAGGAATTACAATGCATTCATTGTTGTTGAATGATCTATAACTTACAAATGTGTCGGTACTATACGCGCGCCACCTACTGTAAGTTAATTGTACTATGCCCATAATAACCCATACGTACCCAAGTATAAAATAATAATAAACACGTATTGTCAGAAATTTGGGGATCTATGAAAACCTTAGTTAACACTTTCATTCGAAGTCACATGTTCTGTGGGCAAAAGCCAACTACAGCCACTACAACCAAGCTCCTCGATTCTTTATACGATACTCGTACTAACGTCACTCAATGGTTTTGCCTTCCCGGAAGCCATCCACTAACACTTAAACTTTATGATATGGTATTAATTAAATTTTTGTATGGGAATATAGAAAAGTGTTGTTTTTAGACTTTTTCAGCCAATTTTTTAAATTTTTCTCTCCGTAAGAACCATCTTCGTACTTCAAGGAATATCATAAAAAAAGAATTAGCGAAATCTGTTCAGCTGCTCTCAAGATTTGCTCTTAGCAACACATTCAGGGATTCATCTTTATAGTATAGAAGATACAGACACATCACGCATTTTTATTATCGTGCCTTTTTAAAAATATTAATTTTAATATTTTATACCAAAAAAGTGTGTATGTGTGTGTGCGAGTGTGTGTGAAGCATATTCAACGAATATAATAGTTTTACTCAAAATAAAAATGTTTGCAAACACTGCTCCGTCCTGGGGTCTAGAATTAATATATATCTAACATTATCTTGCTACGTGATGTGGTTTTCAAAAATGCTTCTATAACAAAAGCACAGCAACAGAATATGAAACACATATTGTAACCTTATTAAAAGTTACGCTCGCAAATTTAACCCTTTTAGAGTTAAATTTGAGAGACAATGTTTTAAGAGGGAAGTCATTGAACTGGAAATGTTCGTAATAGGCCAATTGTGTTAAAGACAAGGCGGTAATATGCTAACATTCCAAATTGACTCCTTTTTGCTTCAAATGGATACTGTCGGCACTGCGCCTTTTTTGTCGACTGCCTGTAACACGCTTTTTTTTTAAAAGGTATTGTCAATCATTCTGTATTTCTATTCAAAATTTTAAAAAATCACGTAAATAGAGAAGATATATATATAGTTTACTATCTCTAAATATACATTTTCTTCAGTCCATTGTAATGACTTCATTACGACCAGACGATAAATTTTCAAATATGTCTCAAACGATTGCGAGGTGAAATTTGGTAGCGATCACCGAATGGTGAGCTCCTGATTTAAACCAATGCCATGAAAACGTTCAGTTCTAATTTCTAAATCGTTTCAGTGCCTAGATGATTCTACTGTGTTAGATAATATAAATTACAAGCATATTGGACAATATATATTACAAACTTATGGAACCTAAGATTGACGGCTCCGTGGCGCGGTGGTTTTTGTACAAATGTTTGTTCCGGGTCAGGATGTTTATCCTTGTGAAGTTTACGAATGCTAACTGCCTCCACGACACAAGAGAAAATTTTAGTGTGGGGGTAACGTTTTTTTACCAATAACTCACCGATCACACTCTTTATTTATGGGTATTAGACAGGAGATGAAATTTAAACTTCAATATAACTCGTATTGGAGAAAAGTGAGCGGAAAATATACGAAATTATTCAATAAAAACTGCGGTTGAATATTTCCTATTGCACCATGACAATGCTTGGGCGCACACTGACAACTAAACAAAGTTATTTTTGGCTTCTGAAAAGGTGGAGCTAACGAGCAGGATGAGTAACGACTCATCCTGCACACAATCGAGACCTCACCCCGTTGGATTCCTTTATTTTGCCTGAAATCGAAGATTTCATAACAGGTTTTACGTTGACGGGGCCTAGCATAGCTACTATTAGAACAACCAGCACGTGAACTCAGTCCAACGGTCCTTATGCTGGAGTTGTAATGGAGCAAAAACTTGTTATTTTACCGATTTAATATGTATGTATTATTACTAGGGCACACTGAAATGATCGGGAATAGAATATTTCGGATTGAGTTACAATAAAACCTTTTTTAGAATTTGAATACTGGCCTCTTAGAATCCCAATGACATTCAAACAATTAAAAAAATGTTTAAAAATAAAAAGTATATTGGTTTAAAGTTGACACGTCGTTAACAGAAATGGAGCTCACGCGTGAACATTTCCGTGCCATAATTTATCACAATTTTCGTCGCGGCTTATCTCAAAATAAATGTCTCAGCGAACTTGTTTCGATTTATGATGTTGAAGCACCGAGTCAAACGACAATATACCGCTGGTATGCCGAGTTCCGACGCGGTTGTGTGTCGCTCAGCACTGTTTATTCTCCAGGTCGACTAAGAATAGCGGTCACGCCTGAAAACATCGCAGCTGTGCGAACTATTATATTAGGTGACCGTCATGTGACATACGAGCAGATTCTGGCTGTTATCAGTATCGGAATGACTGCAGTTTAGTCGATATTATATAATGAGCTGTGTGAAAGAAAGCTAGTTTCCCGCTGGATTTCTCACAATTTGTCCGAAGAGCAAAAGGCGGCTCGTGTAGATTGGTGCTAGAATACTCTGCAACGCTTGAACGGAGGGAAATCAAATGCCGTTTATAATATCGTCTCAGGTGACTAATCATGGATTTATTCATACGAACCTAAAATAAAACATCAGTCAGCAGTTTGTGTCTTCGAAGACGAGGTCAAAGAAACGAAAGTGGTTCGCTCCCGCAACGTGTCAAAGAAAATGGTTCCTACGTTTGTCTCAAAAAAGGGGCATGTTGCTAAAATTCCTTTACAGAAACGCAGAACGGTTACCGCTGAGTGGTATATCACGGTTTGTTTGCCAGAAATGATAGCCGAACTCCAAAAAAATAACCCGAAACGTCGCATCATTTTACATCACGACAATGCGAGCTCCCATACGGCCCGGAAGACAAATGATTTTTTGAAGCAGGAAAACGTCGAGCTGGTGAGTCACCCTCCGTATAGTCCTGACCTGAGCCCAAACAATTTCTTTATATTCCCTAGAATGAAAGATTTATTACGCAGTCAACGGTTTGAAGACCCCGAAGCAGCTATGAAAACGTACAAATCAGTCATTTTGTCAACATCAACTTCGGACTGGAATTACTGTTTTAATGATTGGTTTGCACGAATGGAAAAGTACATTATGTTAAACAGAGAATACTTCGAAAAACAATTAAATACAATTTAGTTATACCGTGGTTTTTCTTCAAAAAAATCTAAAATATTTATTTCATCAAAAAACATATACCTATCCATAATACAATATTCATTGTTGGAGCTGCCTAGTAAGCATATATATATACTTGTGGCAGGCAGCTCCGCCCTTTAATGATGCTTACATACTATATATTATATATTTTTTGAGCTTCTTTAAATCTAGAATTTATATTTTTACTAGGTCGCAGTTTACAATACAAAAGAAAAACTGTTGTTATAAATCGAAATATTCATGGATTAGGGAACACGAGCTGACAATATTTTTAAATAAGTTTTATAAAATTTAAGTACAGAGGTAATCTGGGAGAGATCGAAGAATATAATCTCCGATTTATTCCACACTAAAACAACTCAGTAGCTTAAAACAAACATAAATATTTTAACTTTTGATAATATAAACAGTATTTTTGCTTATAATTTATATAATTACAACTATCGCATAGACGAATGGCTATAAACTACAAATAATACAACCACCAATTCATACTGAGAGAAGATCTTCTGTGTCAGTATAATTTAGTGGCAGCAACCAATCAATTAGTTTATTTTTACAATCTCTTAATTTTAAAGGGTATATTTCAATGCTTTTATTAATTTTATTATATAGGTGAGCTGATTGTATTTTGTAATGTCGTTTAGCTGATTTAGTTTTAGTTTTCTGAAGTTTTACAACATACCTGTTTCTTCTTTTATTTAGTTTATTAGAATGAAATGGTAAAGACCTATGGAGTTTTAGAACAGTTTGTAATATATATAACTTTCTCACTGATAATAATTCACTATATCGATAGAGTTCAGCTGTGGCAAATCTGTACGGCTTAGAATAAATAACCTTTAGTAGGCAACGTTGAGCTCTCTCAACTTCAAGAAATTTTGTCTTTGAAGCTCCACCCCATATATGGATACAATATCCCAGGACTGACTGTACCAATGTAACATATATTTGATTAATAAGCTTCTTAGTAGTAATATATCTTAAAGATTTAAAAATCCATATTAACTTTCTGATTCTGTTTTTAATGAAATCTATGTGACGATCGTTGGTTATATAGAAAAAAAAATTAAAGCAAGTTGCCAGGCACATAATAACTAGTCAAGTGGCGTTTAGAAGTTGATGAATTGGCGTCTCGTTATTAAACAGCAGGATCGGAGACGTCTCATCTTTTCTTAAGTAAACCTTACCGTAAGATGTCCAGCAGAATTTGTACGATTTCATCTTAACAACATCTCGAGCGAGGAAGTGCAAACGGGCAGCCTTCGCCGTCAGCTGCTCGGAAATAAAGATGGGAGTATCTTCAGACGTCCGATGTCCGAGATGTTTGGCACATAGTTTAGTTTTATGTTTTATGTTAAATGCTTTACTCAGCTTTGTTACCTCATTTTTAAGTATAGCAGATGATATCTCCACAATTATCGGAGTGTTTTGAGTAGAGCTGTTTTTCCCCCGGATTCTGTATATATCAGTAATGTTATTTTACTTAATTCGCAACCGATATTTTTAGAAAGGCATACAACCATGTCAATGAGATCTTCTTTTGTTTCCTTTTCTTTCTTTGGTGCATTTTTAATCTCAAAGTTGGCTTTCCTCCTATCTTTTTGCATATCTTCAACTTTGTTCTCCAACATGGTTATGTAGCTCTTATCCTCCTTCACCTGGTCCTCCTAACGCTCTATTTTCTTTCTAAACTCTTCATTTTGCGCCGTTAAAAATGCTATAGAATTTTCAATATTGTGATTGGTATGCTGGATATCCTTTAATATAGCTGTATTTTTCTTAAATTCTTTTTCTTGTGAGGCTATCACACTCGTAATCAATGCCTTCACTTCCGCAAAATCTAAAGTAATTTCGTCTTCTCTTTTTCTTTTCCCGCGTTGGGAAACGAAGTTAGGTTGAGTCAAATCTTGCTTAGAGATTGAGTGAAAATCCTAGTCCGATAAAGACCTATTCAGTGCAGAATTCATATCGTATTTCTATGCTAACAAAGTTGCTTTTTACATGTATGTACTGATATCACTAAACCCAATAGTAGCACTGCACAGTTCTTCGTAGCCGCGTTGTCTACGGCAACAGTACTCGTAGCGTCGTAGCAGTTCAACTCGTAGCACAGCTCGTAGTAAGTAGGTTTGGGCGCGCCGGCCAGAGGGAGTCAAAAAATAGCAATTGACTTCCTCGCACGTGAGGTCTGCGGGTGGGGGGTGACTCACTAGCAGCAAGCGCCAACACAAATAAATTACGCAGCAAAACTGAGCTTAATATGCAAACTGTAACAGTTTATATTAGACTGCACTAATTTAATTAGACCGCGACACGTCCGCTCTCTACAAGACACGGGACGAAAGTGGTTTTTTCTTATTCCCTCGCAACTTTTTGTTGGGGAAATCCTCATGGATACCGTGCGTTGTGAGGGCAATGAGAAGGTTATGCTGTACTCGTACGGACTAAAACTCCTAGGTGGTCACCATCAGCGTATTCGAGGGGGACCCCTCGGGGGATCTACTTTCGGAATGCAAACGAGGTCCCTCCATCGCTTTGCTACACTAATAGCACGTCCCGGGGCCAGTACTTGCTGTCCCAAATACCCTCACAGTGGAAACACGATGTCCCGAGTCCACTTCCAAATCATTGTCCTCCTCGGAGGTTACATAACTGAGCATTGGACGCCCCGGCCCGAACGTCTGCAACCCCGGAGGCCCCGTTTTTGGTAGGGGAACACCGTTTTCAAGAGGAGGGCCGTGACGAACGTTTTGGCGACGTTGTCTGCGAGCGGGATCTGCCCTCTCCCGATTCCACTCAGAAGCCTCCTTCTGAATCGTAACAGATTCACAGAAGCTGGCTACGGCCCTCCACGCCGAATCCCCGCTCAGCATTGCCGACACGACTGCTGGCAGGGAGAGGTTCCGTCCGATGCGGTTTATCAGGATAGTCCGCTACCGTTTCCACGCTGGGCATACTGCGAACATATAGGAAGCATAACCAGTGCGTGGAATATCAATAAAAAAAAAATGTTATTATGAGGAAAACGCTGATCTCCTGTTTTAGTTTCCTTCTGTAGCCCCTTAATCGTGGATATTACACCGTCACTACAAGGTTACTTTGTATGAATGTTACTACGTATGAATATATGATATAACATATTATATGACATAACATACATCTGTTCCTCAATATCTTTAAATAGCTCAGCTTAGTTTGTAAACGATCAAAAAATTTTCTTAAGAATAAATTTGCTTCTTTTTTACTAGTTAAAGAAAATAAAACATCTTCATTTTTCATTTAAGATTACACGCTGAGCGAACTGCTTGGCTATTAATTTTCATTTATTTTTAACTAAAGCGTTGACATTGAAAATTGTCTGTCAAGTTTATTCATTAATTATAGCCTACCAAAAGTCTAAGAATATAGGCCTCGCCCAAAGATTGTGTAATATGAGAGGATATTTGACATAGTCGCCACGCTTCACAGGAGAGCTGGTAACCGCAGTATTGTATAATTTTGAGTTGGTATCAGGAACTTGCTGCTGCTCATCTCCTGTTCCAGTTTCCTTCTGTTGCCTTTTACGACACCCACGAGACGTAGAAGATTCTCATATGTCACTTTTCTTTTAGAATGTTCAATTAATATTTATTAATTCGCTAAAGCCTTATATAAATAGAAATATTTATTTTTTGACTAATTTATTATAGCCCTTAACCCTACACTAGAGTTATGCTAGAACGCACTATAATCTACGACTAAGGTTTCTAACTTACTCGTTAGTCACCACAGTTGTGTATAGTATACAGCAATCTTAGACCAACAAAGATAGAGACAGAACACCACGCAAATTAAAGTGACGCTGAATCTATGCTCAACCTATTAACAACATGAACACACATATGCATCTAAAATCATTTGCAACCTATTCACAGGAAACGAGGATTCAAATATGTAGCTTCTCAACTGATTTTAGCATCTACTTACTATCGGGTGGACTGTGTGGTCGTTTGTCACACTTAATCTATATAAAAAAGCAACAATATGATTTTAGATGTATAGGTATATGTGCCTCCAGCAGAGGACTTTTAGGGCCCGGTAAAGAAGAAAGAAAAAAATATGTGTAAGTGAGCATATGTCAAGAATTTTAATATGTTTTCAGCATAGCTTTAGATAGAGTCATGCTGTAGCTATATTATAGTTGTAGTGCAAATAGTTCGGCACGACCAGGGAGGATCAACGCTCTC